TTTAGTGGTAAGTTCAGGGTTAACGTTAGGTTTATAACTACGTTAAGGATTGGGTTTACCTTTGAGGTTACGGCTAGTTTTACCGCTAGGTTTGGGGTATTGCGTCCCCGCGCGTCCTCTCAGCCAGGTATTTTGCGGAGGTTCTAGGCTTCCTTCACTCTCGCGGCCGATTTGTCGGTCAGATCGCAGTTGGTAGCCAGGAATGGGGAGGCGGACAGCCAGGTCCCTGTCGTACGGGAATGGTGGGAAAGGGGGTTATAGGGGTGGGGCAAATGGAAGGGCTGGTAGAGGAATGCTGGAGTTTCTGGGTAAAAGTAATGTTACCAGGGAAAGCGCTGGGAGTTTTAATTAAGTGAAATAATGGCAGAAATTTAAACCCTACGTTTAACGCGAAAATCCACCCCTGACCGCAACCATAAAGCCTAACCCTAAGTCTCAAAACAGAAACTTAACCAAAATCCTAAAGCCAAACTCTAACCCAAAACCCAGTCATAACCCTTACCTTGACCCTAACTTCAAACCTAACCGTAACCTTAACAGGAACCTAAACCCTAACCCTAACCTTGAAAGCTGACCCTAAAACGCAAATCCTAAAACTTAACCTACGCCTAACCCTAACTGAACCCAACAGCCTGCCCGAAAAGGGTGACCTGCCTAACTCAGTAGAGCACACCTGCTGATAACAAGTACGTACGCCAACAGTATCACCGTATAAGGTCTGGCTACCAACTGCGATCTTCCCGATTTGTCATGCATCAGGTTGCGCCTTCTCCGGGCCAGCCTCAGCTACTTTCCCTACGCACGGTTTCAGCATCTCCCTTCGGCCCACTTACTTTCAATGCCCACATTGCACTTACAGTTGGGACCAGGACAGCGTAATCTACCCTTGCCTCCTGTCAAGCACTCCGAAATTGCCTTCGGTCTGAATAAATTGACCCCTTTACGGCCTTAAAGTCTCCCCCCTACTCTTTATTAGGGAACTACGACTCTAACCTTCGTCCCTGTGCGTTTGGAGTTCATTTATTCATCTATAGAAAGTGCACATGGCCTCACAAGCTGTCCTGGTCCCAAGTGTAAGCGTAATGTGGGCATTGCAAGTAAAGTAAGACGAAGGGGGATGCTGAAATCGTTAATTGGAATGTAGCCAAAGCTAAAACAAAAAAGGGCAAACTGGTGTTTCTGCTTAGGATTTGGGTTGGTGTCAGGCTGCGATTTGGGTTTAGGGATAGGCTTTGTGTTAAGTTTTTGGGGGTTCCGGCAAGAGTTAGGGTTTAGAGTGCGGTTTAGATTTACGCCTATTGTTAGGGTTGGGGTTAAGATGAGAGTTTGGTTTATGGTTAAGGCTAGGCTTAGGGTTAGGGCTAGGCTTTGTGGTTGGTCTAGAGTTAGGTTTAATGCCAAGTTCAGGGCTAACGTTGGGTTTATAACTACGTTAAGGATTGGGTTTACTTCTGAGGTTACGGTTAGGTTTACAATTAGGTTATGGTATTGCTGCACCGCTTGTCCTGTCAGCTAGGTCTTTCGCGGGGATTCTAGGCTTCCTTCACTCTCGTAACAGGTTCGTCCAACATCAAGTTGTCTTTTCCGGTCGAGCCTCGGCTACTTTCCCCACTAACGATATTAATATCCCCATTGGGCTTACTCAACTTTCAATGCTCACATTGCGCAAACACTTAGGACCAGGACTACGTAATCGACCCTTGCTCCTGTCAAGCACTCCGAAACTGCCTTCATTTACTTCGTTCTCAATAAATTGACCGCTTTACGGCCTTAAAGTCCCCCCCCCCGCTTTATCAGAGAACTACGACTCTAACTTTCGTCTCTGTGCATTTGGAGTTCATTTATCCATCTACAGAAAGTGCACATGGCCTCACAAGCGTGTACAATGCAGGTGCGTTACTAGGGTGGGGTGATTATAGAGCCAGTCACCTGTTTGCCTACATACAATCACGTCTAGCGGGTTTTAGATGCCTGAAATAAATTGCTGATGGACTGCACTATGGCGTCAACAACGCCTACTAATTTTTACACTATATACAACGCTGCAGATCAAGTCCTGATGAATGGATCCTGTCTTTTGACATTATCGGATATTTTACATAATACGAGGTGACTTGGCTATTTAAGGAGAGGTTTAAGGCCTTTACGCGGGTTCTCTTGGCAGTAAAATGTGGCGTGTTTTAGATGTACTCGATTTCTGAGTTTAGAGGTAGTGTCAGTCCGAGAGGTGACACTACTGAAGAGTTATGGACGTTTCGGTGTGATTGTCAGTATCGGGACTATTAAATCGAACAGTCTTAAAGAAAACAGATAAGGCGATTCTTCGAGCTGCCATGAAAATAAATGCGGCTTCATCGTACTTTCTTGACGGCGTATAACGGCAAAGACAAACTCATTCGTTAAAGTGTGAACAGCGATTCCCGGCTATCGGATTTAATCGACAGTGAACAGCAGGGAGCGAAATTCCTATAATAGGTGCATGTGAGAAGACGCAATTAGTGAAATTATTATCGGCTACGAACGCGACGGAAAAGTATATTACATAATAAGCAGTCTGAAACCGTTTTCATGACAGCTTTATACCTTTTCACTCATATATATTCCTTGGTCGTAACAAGATGCAAAAAGCATGATCCATTGAGAAATGGTGCCAATTGTCTACTCACGTTTATACATGAGGCCGAGGCTCATTGGTAGATCGTTTGACCCTGGGTTCGAGTCCCAGGTGGTTCACATTTGGGATTGGGTATGAGTCGTTGATAACGTCTTTGTCAATATCACCTTTTCTACATATATCATTAGTCGATAAACGACTGCCCGCAAGGTTTCTAGTTTGAGCCCCAAGGCATAATGTGACAAGCATGTCCCGTAGCCTAGTCGGTGAGCGCCCATCTACCATATATATACAGTAGGTGGGCTAAGTCAAGAAATGTTAACCGAAATTCCGAAATGCGTTTTCGTCTAGAAAAGAGTAAATGAGTAGGGATGTAAAACTAGTCGGCTAGATTGCAGTCGGTAGCCAGGAATGGGGAAGCGGACGGCGAACTTAACACTCATCCTAACCCTAACACTAACCTCAAACTTGAACATTAACCGTTAACCCTAACGGCAACCCTGACCCTAAACGTAACCGTAGCCCTTTGACATAGCCGTAACTGAAAAACCTTACCGTAATACTGAAGCCTAATCGTACGCCTAAACCCCAACCGTAACACGAAAACCCAAGCCTAAAAGCATAACCCTAACCCGAAAATCGGAAACCATTAACCGGTACCCTAATCCTAACCACAAACGTAAAACGAAGGCCAAATGGGTCAGATGCGATTATGGAGCCCCACAAAATAGCCCCAATAAACAGCCCCCTTCCACCTGTAATACGGGTCCTGGTTACCAACTGCGATCTAGCCAACTAATCATCATGCAACATAATTCTGTAATAATTCAGTTTCCGCAAGATGCGGACTTTCGAATAAACTTTTTTCAGGCGCATGCAAAAACTATGCCCTGAAAAAATGACTACTTAAGTACCATGAATGTTTCTCGTTGATTTTTGTTGCCCTCAAAAATTCAATTATATTTCACGGAAAAATGCGTAAAAATGTTCATTCTTTTTGCTCATTCGGTAGAAAATGACGACTTTTTTAATTATGTACTCGAAGGAACGGTATTATTCGGTTTTCAAAAAGTTTTCCAATTCTTGAGTAATTTCGAACGCCGATCTGCCGTTACACTTGCATTCAGGGTTTCCAAGTTACAAGCTGAATATTTTCCATGTACACATATCCATAAATTTTTCTAAGGTATTAAGAGGAGACTATATAGGCTTCATAAAACTTAGCATTGGATTTGGGCCACATTGTTAACTTTACAAACCACACTGGCAAATGCAGGGAAATGACGTTTTAAGGAGGGTCATTTCACGGTATTAAAAAATCTCATAATTAGGAATCTTTTTAAAACCGAACCGTCCTCTTCCTTCAAGTATAAAATTAAAAGAGACATAATTTCCTACCGACTGAGTAGAAGAACGAATAATTATATGCATGTTTTCAAAGAAACAATTGGGTTTTTATGGACATCAAAAATTAATGAGAGAAATGCAATGGATATTTTTTTCATGCAGCCGGAATGACGTTTGTTCGAAAGCCGGCATCCACGAGTAATTGAATAAATATAGAATTATGCTGCAGGATGATAAGTTTTAAAACTACTTAATTAATCCTTTCTAGACGTAAACGCATTTCGAAATTTCGGTTGACATTTCATATGTTAGCCCACCTGCTGTGAATGTGTGTTGAACAGCGTCAATTCCAAGAAATTTAACTTGGAATAGATAAGATTTTTATGAACAAAATATCCTTTATTGGGTATTTTTTCGAGAGTGGTCCCCGAGCTCGTCTTAATACCCATGTTATTTATGAAAGCAGTTAATTGTTTAACCGAATCAAACAAGTGGTTTTGAGGTTGGCCGAAGCCTGTAAGGCGCAGCAACACACTCACCTCCGACAATGGAAGTTTGTTTGCATTTGGAACGTCACGACAGAAAACGTATAGTTCCCGAAGAAACCTTGGCTTCTCATTTATGTACGGAAATGCGCATGTTTGCTCCTATCAACAATACATATATATATATATATATTATGATAGTGGGCGCTCACCGATCAGGTTACGGAACATGCTCGTTCCGTTGTGCCTTGGGGCTCATACTTAAACCCTCGCAGGCAGTCGCACAGCGACTAGTGATATATGCTGGAAAGGTAATACCGACAAAGACAAGGG